TGCATTCGAATAAATCTCCTGTCGAATCTCAAAATAATGTTTGCTCTTTATACGTCTTTAAAATGATTTTGTTTAACGAGAAAAAAAATAGAATTTTCCCGTAACTTATTTCGCTTAAGAATAATTAGAACATGCTGTCGCTACATTAATACTAATTTATATACAATTTATATACTAATTTATATACAAAAATTGCATACCACATGGATTTTTATACATAATTGGCATTAACTTCGCGACGTTCGTGCGGAGCAGACAACACGGCACAACTCGAAAATTAACGTTAAAAAGAGTTGCCGTTAAATTAACTGAAGGGAGAGGTAGCTTCTAACCGCGGGAACGTGTCCGACTATCGACGGGCTGGCGGCGGTTCCCGCCAGGAAGTGCCCGGACATTATCGAAGTTTCGATGTTCGGTCTAACCAAATTCGGGACGACGAGAACGAGGGCAATTTAGTTACCTGGCGCGTTGACTGGCGCAGCCGACTATTCCAGGTCGTGTGTCGATCGATGTTCATCCACGTAAAAGGGTGGGTGGCGGCGGGTCGAGGGAGCGGATGGTTAAAGGACGGCGGTGGCGGGCGGGCGGTCGGAGGTTGTAATAAGCGTAATGGACATAGCACCCCCGCCACACGCATGCCCTCGGTCCTCGCGGCGCGTTCGCGCGGCAAAGGGTTGCTTCCTGTAATCGTGAGAACGCTCTTCCACGCTTGTCCCCCCTTCCCCTCCCCCTCCCCCTCCCCGACGTTATTCTCGCCGAAATCACGATGATTCTCGCGATGGTGTTTGGGAGAATTTAGATTTATGGCAGAGGTTTGAGATTTGAATTTATGAAAATCGTATTATTGTCCGGCAGATAAAGCCCGGAATGGTTACTTTCTTTGTGCTGTTGAGTTTCTTGCGATTTTATTCGCGGGAATATCATCCCGCTTGATATGCGGAAGCAGTATATCAATGATGAAATTAACCCTGGAATTAGCACGATATTCAACTGAGTTATATCAACGAGTACATCCAAGGCGTGATGCGACTATAAAAAAAAGTAATTTATGGATGGCTGTAGCCAAGTTAATATAAATGACACATATTTTCTGCGAATAAACCAGCATTACCTACATAGTAGCAACAATTCTAATTCTTTCTACGCAAAATATGTCGCACGAGAACATTACTTATCGCAGAATTACTTAGAATATACAAGAGACAAACGTTATTTTAAGAATCGATGAGAGATTTATACAAATGGGAAATAAAATAAAAAGTTGTTTGAATCAGAAATGAGATAATAAAGGAATTTCGAGATAAAACTGGTCGCCTTAAAAAGTTACAGAAAAGTGTTCGATTTCATTGAAATTTTCTGTAGTCTCTTAGACGAATCTCATCTTTGTCGTAGAATTTTTTTATATTCGCCTTGGCTTTTATAATAAAAGAAACAGTTTTTCAGTTAAAAGATCGAAATCGTAATTTCTAATTATTGCTTTTGTAAAAAAACAATTTTTTTTAATCGGCAAAGACTATATTTCATTATTATTATTTTTTTTTTTTTTCATTTACTTTAAGAATCAATTTGAAATCTTTTATTTCATATAAATAAGAAAAGAAAATAGAACATACCTGGGATACTGCATACGCCTATCTTGTAGCACACGTCCGAGGATCGCTGTTATTCTTTTACCTTTTTTAAATGTATTTTTATGCCTTTTATAGATGCAGTCTCTTAATAATATGTCTTTCCGCTACCGATTGCACATTGTATAGTCGCGAACAAGGAGATGATTTATGCTCGCGGGCGAAAAGCGCGGTGCGTTCTCGTGCACGTGACCGCCCGCCACGGCCGCGGCGGCACGCACGTAAACGTTGCATCGTTGCCGTACACCGTTCGCAGCTCCGTGTGCGGTGTAAAAGCGGTCCACACGCGTGATATATTATGCAGTCTCGCTAAGTGGAGCTAGGAGATGCCGAGCGGAAGAGCAGCGAGGGAAAGAGGAAGAGGGAGCGAGGGAACGAGCGTGAAGAACGAACGGGGACGACGTCACACGTTGAGCGAGTGCATGCCAGCAGGGCGAGAGAAAGAAACAGATGGGGAAGAGAGTGGAGAGGAGAGCGAGCGCGAAAGCGCAGAAAGGAGAGGGCGAGGTTACTCAAAACGAGCGGCTGTATTAAGTGCGCCTATAGATTACGGCGCCGGGAAAAGTAGAGGCGCATCGCGCTAAAACGCCTCAGGGAAAAAAATTACCGTATGGGCCCCCGTACGTCATCCTCGCGGCCTCGCCTCGCCTGTTTCTCCCTCCCTCTTTCTTTCTATCTCTCTCTCTCTCTCTCTTTTTCCTCTCGTGTGCATGCGAGAGCGTGTCATTTCTGGCCGGGTGCGCGCGGGATGAGCGTATTTCATGGCGAGGTCGCGAGGAACACTTCGTCGACGCCTTTTTCTTCGATCCGATGACAGGCGCCGTCTCTCTTTCTCTCTTCCCCGCCTCGATCATCGCGGAGAACACGTCAAGGGATGGAATACTTCGCGATTTATATACATCATGCATTATCCCGCCGCTTACCGTGACATCTTTTTCTTTCTTCCCTCCGAGGACGATACGCTCTAGCGATTTTCACGGTGATTTTTTCCTAGAGAAAATTTGAATCGAAGAAGTTTAATTATGAAGATGTATATGTTGGAGAGCTTCCCAGGGAGATTTGTCAATTTCCATTTCACACGTATAAATATTTCGCAAAGTTGTCACGTTTCCAAACGCTACTGCCTTTGCGCCGGATTAGCCTAGTGGAGAAAAGGATCAAACGAATTCCACTTCGCAACACAAGTGCAGTACGTCGCAAAAGAATGTTATCTTTATTACGTGTAATACGGGCAATATATTACACATGTAATATATTAGCTTACGCTCGTTTGTGTGTGTGTGTGTGTGTGTGTGTGCGTGTGTGTGTGTGTGTTTTGCGTACGCCAAATATATGCGCGCCGAAATATAATATACACGCGCATGGCACTCGGTAACGTGTTCGTGAATATCGGAACTCTGCCTTCTCCCCGCGATAAAATACTCGTGTATGTCCTACGTATATTTCTATGAGCGCTTTAATTAACGCGGCTAATATTTTCCTAACACTCGCGCAAGACGACGATGGTCAATTAGGGATGTAACAACGACAAGTGGACGCGATAATTGTTCAAGAATGAAATTAGTAGCAACCTGCCATTTGTCGACCGTCTTCTGTCGATGATGGTTGAAATGCGCGCGCTCTCGCCATTTATCTCTTAATAATTTGACAACCACCTTTTTTCTAAATTTTTCTCTCCCTGCCTCCCCGTGCGAAGTTCGTCGCACCGTCCGATTTTGTCGATTATTTTGTCCCCATTTGAACCTAGCCGAGTTCGTCAACGGAATTGCACGAATCTATGTACATGACTACCTTTCTGGAACGCCATTCTGTCGTTTTCGTTCACGATGAATCCTCCGGTATATACGCATGAGAAATTCTCGTGAAACGCGAGGACACGCGAGAAGGTACATAAGTACGGATATCGTATTCGAGTTAACGGGACCATCTCGCAGAGATGTATTCCCGCGGGGGCGTGCATTTATCGTAAAGGACCGTTTTAAATCTACAATCGCGTATGCGCATTTATATGTATGTAAGAGCTACCGTAGAAAAATACCGCTTCTCTTCTTCGTTTCTAGAACGCGAGCTACGCTCGCGAGGACAGCACCCGGCAAAAACGACGCTAATACTATGCCTCGTTGAAACGTCGCGATTTAATTTTCAGCTACTAGTCGTCGGTATCTAGGCGAGACATCGATCAACCCCGTGCGAAAGTTTCGCGCCAGCGTTGTTTACTCCTAATGAAAAATCTAAGTTCATTCGGACGGCGAAAGTTTCGCAGGAATAATACATTATAATCATTATATATATATTACTATCGTTATATTTTACTTGAGGTCGAACGCATGAGATATTTATGATTCTCGTCTTCATTCGACCCTATGTTATTATTAATGTTAAATATTTGCTGAATATTGTATATCTGTTATATATATATATATATATATATATATATATATATATATATATGTGTGTGTGTCTCTGTATGTATGTTCCCCCCAAAAAACAACATAAAAATAGTACGGCAATATTTTCTATCAAATTATAAGAACATTTTTCTTCTAAAATTTAAAAATTTGTCTTGGAGACCCAACATTTTATTACAATCATATTTATTGATAGTAAATTTCATAAACGACCAGAATTAAATCTAATTTTTACGAAACAAAATGTAAGATATAAAAGAAAAAGACGACACCTAAGATATCTAGATGTCAAAAATTGCAAAAACAATGAGTGTAATTCACAATCAAAGCTTTTCAAAAACCGAATTCCAATAAAATTGAAATATAAGTTTGATGGAAAATACTGCCAAGCTATTGCGTTTTTTTTTTTGGGACCTTCCATACATCAATATAATACTTAAATATAAATTGCATTGGCAGGACATTGCACGAATGCATTTGTTGCAGCCACGAAAACTTGTACCATACTGTACTAAAATAAATACCGGATAAAAAAAAACAATAAATACCCAATAAAATTTTTCATATAAAAACATATAGATATAAAATATAGTCCATATAAGTTTTGTGTCTCTTATACAATCGTTGTTCATATATAAGAAAAAATAAGAATTAAAAAATAATTTAAAAAATAATTTTCGCATTCTTTTCTTTTTGATAAAAAAAATTAAGTTTGAAGAAACGAGAAAAAATTGCTCATGTATAATCATATATATAATATAATTATATACGATTGTATGTATACAAAATATTATATAATTTAATCGCAATTTTATTTTTTATAAAAAACAATGCAAAAGTTATTTTTCCATTTACTTTTCAATTGTTCTTTTTATTACTTTTCTTATATATACGAACAGAGATTGTACAACAAAAAGAAAACATACATGATAACATATATTTTATATATATAATTATATATAAATCAATGAACTATTCTTTACATATTGTTTAAATAATAAACCATTTTTGAAATAAACTCTCTTAAATTCGACTCTTTTTCATCATGAAACACTTGAAAATATTATTCACGTAATGAACACGCAACGCGCGGGTGCAACATAAATTCGCTAAAATCTACAGGGCCGTTATACCGGGGGTACAGTTTACGAGGCTAACATACGCACGGATATCTTCCTACATCTATTCGGCCGTGCCACGCGACGATAACTATATCAAAAGGCCCATTTGAAGACACATTCTTTGCACGATAGATTGGCACGCGTGGAAACGGACGGTAGTAAAAAATACGGTACGAGATACACAGCGCAATGATTGCAAATATAAAGATCTGCTAACGTTAAAAGGACTAGATTCACGGATATAGTCCGCGCGTCTCGCTCGATTACTCCTCTCGCCGTCGCGTATCCTCCTACACTCTTGTCCCTCAAAATTCGACGGAAGTCTTTATCTAATGAAACGATCCTAAGAGAGTTAGAACAATAGTGCCTGCGCGCATCGCTTTCCTTCATATCGGAGAAAAAAATTAAAATTAAGGAAAGCCTGCATTTTCTAGCTTACCGAACATACGTAAAAATATATTATTCAAGACGATAACTCACGAGTGCATTGCGATAACTTCGGTCGAGTACCTACTTAGTCTAGCCTAAAGTACCGGGGAGCGATCGTCGTGATGTTTACCGTCGTCATTCGTTCAGCGGGGCGACAGGTAATTTCGACAGTAAGTCGGCTATACTATAACGCGCGAGAATAAATTATTCCGCGCACAGAGTTACGTTCAACAAAACAACAATGGTTTCCTCGGCTGAGCGATTACTCGGAAACGTAAATCGTTCTCCGCTTCGGATTTGGTAAACGCGCGCATATTCTCCTTTTTACAATTAGCCTGACATCTCGTCGCTCCTTGAATCAGTACTTCCCGAAACGTATCTCAAACAATTATATAATACGCGTGACTTTGGAATTGTACGGCAGGATTGAAATAATCAGATCTCGTTCAGAAAATATTTATAGCAGAAAAATCTCAGTGACACCGGGGATCCTTTGTAGAAGCGAGACGATGCATACCGCACAAGCCTGTAAAGCAGAATATGCATGCGTGTTCCGTCACTATGTCGCGGACGTAAATAGGCGACCGAAATGGTTCGGGAAGCACTGGTCTAAATTAAAGTAACACATACCTTCGTCTTGTTCGCGTTTACTTCTGAGTAAATTTAACTCTCAAATTGACTTTCATTCCCGGGAAGAGGAGACGTGCGCGTACATTCACTTAGAGAATGAGATTACCGTTATCGAGATTCAATCTCCGATCGCGCGATAATCAGATACAGACGGCTACGAATTGCATCCGATGCAATCTCTCATCTTTATTTTCCTCCCTTCTCGGAGAAGCGGTCGTTCGCTGTATAACGATCCATCAACGATTCCGTCAATGATACACGCAAACTGTAATGCCTATAATAGGCTCTAAGAAATTAAATTAAACTACTCAAACCTTTAGTTGAACGTAGTCAACGACTAGGCGCTATCCTTTAGCAAACGCACCAAAGGATTTAATTTACCTTCGTCCGAATTTCTGTACTGCTCCAGCAACTGCAAAGCCAATCAGCAAATTTATTCATTAAACGTTATTATGTATAGCGCAACGTATTAATTAATAACATTATTCAATTAATAAGTGCATAAGAATGAAGGTAATCGTTTTCCGTCGTTTTTTAAGGGCATTAAATATGATTCCATTTTGTTTTATTATAACTTTGAAAAATTTGTAGTTGAAGTTGCAAAAAAATTTAGTAAACGGGATGGTATTCACCAAAAAGACTACGATGATTACCCTCGTTCTTGTGCTAAAAAAAATCATTTTTTGTTAAACAGTGTAATAGATTGGGAGACAAAAGTTCATATATTAGAGAGAAATCAATTATTTTAATTCTATAATTGTGAATAATAAAAAATAATTATTAATCAAAGCAGAGACCGAGAGTGAATATCAAAACATAAAAATTGTATTATTTACCAATGCAGCCAATTTAAGATAATTGTAGTTATCGAATAAGGAAAATTCTTAAAGCGTCTAAAGCGTTTATAACATTTTGCAGTACACGTGAAAGGTTGATCGAATCGCGCGATACAGAATCAACTTTGTTATTTACACGTTAAAATTATGAATATTTATGCACGCATATTAACATGTATATTAACACGTTAAATGTGGTTACCGGGAAATCGACACTATAACGCTGATATTACGTCTCACCGATTCACGTATAAAATGTAATCGACCGCAGAGAAATGCGAGCACCACCAATAGAGAAAAAAAATGTTTTCCAACAAAGCTCGCGCATTGTCGCAGATTTGTGTTAATAACGCATCCGTTCAATAAATGTTGAATTTAAATTGTGTCAATACAAAAGTTAGGCACATGACAACGAGTTGCGTCCGTCAATCATCGACTTACCTCGTACGACATTTCGCAAGACAATATCGCCATCGCCTCAGAATTGCGGTGAGTAGCGGCCAAAAGGGCCGGCAACGTGTACGGTATCAATCTGGGATCTCCGTAAAACGGGAACGGCAGGGTACACAGCTGCTGGAGGACGCTGGGGCCCGCGCCAGCCGATTGGAGAACCAGCTGGAACAGATTTCCCAAACGATGAACGTTATTATTCTTCAACGGAAGTCATTTCAGTTGCTTTAGCTTCTCCAGTAATTTCGCGATATCCGTAAAGAAGAGAAGAAGCTAGCGCTAGCAACGGCTGGGAGTTATTGAAAAGGAAATTATCGCCACGCTACCGAGAGCTATCGTTTCGGTGATTCTTCTCTCATCCGTTCTCGAGTTTTCGGACGTGAACTATATCGATTAAAGAATACAAATTCTTAATTTCATCGACGGGTGTTAGTACATCGATACTTTGGCCAGCAGCGAGCAAATCCAGTCACGCGCGCAAATAAAAACGCTTTTAAAAGCCGTTGTAATTTTTATATTTTAAAGCATGTGTGTATCCATTAACTTTTAAAAAAGTCATCATAAACGAGAGTTTTACATGTTAACAGATATAAATAATAATTAATCTACACAGCAAAGCAATCGATGTTGTTAATAACTAGCATCAGCTAACAGAACTCTAGTTGAAAATAATCTTATTAATTCAACTTTTTTTTTTTCGTGTACGTCATACCTGATATCTATATAAAGCATAGTTCCACGCGTTTCGTCGACGAAGTATTAAATTATTTCTCTCAGAGGTTTCTCTCAGGAATCGCTTTTCGCGGGAGGAATCTGTCAGCCGAGTAGACGGGGAGATCGATATACCGGACGAAGATTCTCTTCTTGTAATTGCAAATTACCCGCATTGCACGTTCGACCGGAGTTTCTCAATTGCAGCGCGGACGGTTAATTAAAGCGGCCGAGCAATTTTCTTAAAGAGCGTGAGAACTTGGCGTGACCCAGGTGTCACGGAAACGAGAGTGTCTTTAGCGCGAGAAGATCGCGCTGGACATCTGCGTCTCATGACAAGTGCCTCTGTGAACAGGACGTCGTATTCCTGTGCACCTGCACAAAACCCTTGCAGGAAATGCCCACATTTTACGCATCCCTGTCTCATCGGCGCCAAGGCGGCCCGTATTGCGCTTCGTATGCGTTAAATATATCGGTCCGTCCGTTACGGTTGACATAACTCCGCGCGCAACGTAATGTAACGTAACTCGGTAATGATTGATTCGCGATGAAATCAGTCGCTTCGCGAGGAATATATAGGTTCGCCTCATCACGAAAATAGATTTTATCGTGAAAACTGTCCCATAAAAGTAGCCTCATCAATCCAACGCAAGGTCGCTTGACGCGTTTCGAATTATCGCTAAAGCAAGGTTCTCGTACAATCTTATAGAGAGTTCACATTAAGTTCCACAGAATGGTCAGTGAAAGGACAATTAGCTATGAAAGTTAATCTTTCGTTGTTAATCTTGAATCGAGATCAAGAAAGTTAATCTTTCTGACGGGTGTCACGGATGTCGGCGGAAAAAAGCCGATTGATTGCTATTTAATTGCACGGTTCTGGGCGCGGTGAAGCAAGCGACGTTCTCAATATCGATTGGCAAAAAAAAACAATGTATCACGATTAACGGCGTGTAGCGACACACGCGCGTGACCTCAAGGGGGCCCTAGTTAACGCCGGGCCCGGGTTTAAAATAAATAAGCGGAAAGCGGTAACGCGCGCACCGCGGCGCCACCGCAAAAAAATCCATTTCTCGAATTCGGTTACGACCGTCGACAAAAAACGGAGATGGACGTGTTTATGATCGCGGACGGAGAAGGTGATACCGTCGTACCGGGCTGGCGATAACCCTGCCTGCCGCAGATGCTCGTAGAAGCTTAAAAGCGTCTCGTTTCTCCCTTTCTCTCTTTCTGTTTTATGCACGTCTCACCCATATACACACACACACACACACATACACACATTTTTTTCTCTCTCGCTTTCTTTCTTCCTCTTCGTCTCGCGGAAAACGATTTTTCCGAGGCAGCTACTCTCGGAGGGTCGGCTCTCGCTCTTCAGAGCGGCGACCTTAAAAAAGCGCTGAAAGACGAATGCGCGACATCGGTGGTGCACTCAGCAGTTCACATTCCGATTCACCCGTTCACGGAATCAACGTGGACCACAGATTCGGGCTCAGACAACGTGCGAGCGGTGGCGTTAAATCGTAGCAACTTCGCGAGAAGCAATTTCCTTAAATTGAGAAATCTTGTTAACTTCAGGAATACTAAACTTAGTCGCGAGAGATACTCGCGAGTTGCTTTAAACAATTTTCGCGTTAATAATACGCTGGTAGTTTATATTCCAAAATAATAAGTTAATATTCCAGAGTTAATAATAGGTAATAATACTTCATTTCGCTTCCTATTTCGGAACACCGCACATATATTCACAGTTTTATTTGAGAAAGGTACTTGTTGATTGAGATTGTGATGTATTAATTACTTCGTTATAAATAATCACTTTGTAATAATCCGTAACAGGAAAAGTTGAAATATTTAAATAGATACTTAAAAGTATCTATTACATAGATACTGAAAATCTATTAATCTATTAATTACATAATTCGTGTAGGATGTACAATAAAATATGCTCTCCCAGCCTTAAGAATCTATTAAATTCACCGAGTAAAACTTTCTTGTCAATCGAATAATGCACAAATTGTTTCGCAATTAAAGAAGAATGCTTGCACTTATCTTTATCTAAAAGATATATAGAATATTGCCGACTTTTATGTAATTGTAAATTAACAAAGAGAACAATACGAAAATCGAGATGTAAATTAGGATGTAAAATTCACTCCGCGAGTAATTACGTTAAAAAAAATAAAACCACGCGAGTAACGTAAGGTTAATAAATACTTATAGAGAGAAAATACATAAAATGTATTATTAGATATTTAAAAATATTTACTATAGAGATGGGATAGATATACTTTTAAGTATCCATTACTACTATGCAATATTACTACTTTTAAATATAATTTTTTTGCATTTCACAACTTTTGCGTTTTAATTAACAATTATTTTTATATTTTACCCCTTTAGATACGGTTAATTTTGCTCTCGGAGATTCCTTCGTTTTCCGCGTCACAATTATAATAAATGTCCACGCGATTTTGCGAACTGATGGATCGGAGTTGCACGCGTGCACGCGCCCTGAAGCGCACGGAACCGTACGCCGTAAATATATCTTAACGGCATTCGGCCGTATATTGATGGGAGGTCCGCTGAGTGTGTTGTGTCTAACAGCCTCTTCCTTCTTCTCGCCAGTAACACGCTGTACGCCATCCAGCGCGTGCATTTCTCGCCGAACGTACCGGGTGACTCGAGACACTGCAGTCTCCGATTCGAAGAATTCAAAGCGGTACACGGTACGTACACCCTAACGGCACACGTAGATGAGAATGTTTGGAGGGTATCGCAAAAGTATAGGATATTAGAGGGATGTTCTCATTGTCAGTATATCAAGTGTGTTCTCAGGTATGTACATTCTGTAGAAGCACCGAATATACAAATGATATCAAGGGCTGTTAGGGATGTAAAATGCCGAAAGCGAACGAGTATCCTCGATAAAGTACGTTTTCGTAAAAATTCTGACGACGCCGACGTATCTACATCGCGCTCATAAAGATTCGAGACGCAGGTAATATTTTTGAAATAGGTCAAACTCCTAATGCGTCCACAGCTTTGTCGCGCGTAGAAAGGATAACAAAAATTAACGATCTCAGAATTAACGGAAGAATTTTCGACTTTTTTCTGATTTCGTAGAAGACCGAAATGAAGATTATTCTTTAAGATCAAGAAGGTGCTTTTACGATTTTTTAAGATTACAGACGGATTAGGAAAGACAAGAAGTTTGAGCAAATTCAGATTTTACGCAAGTGAGCGCACGACGAGCTTCTAACTAAGTTTCATTAGAAAGGCCCCTTCAAATTCTGAGGTGTTCGATCGCATAAGCTGCCATATGGGAAGGGAACGTACCTGATTGTCCGGATTGTTTAGGGCGAAGTACCCAAGCACCACAAACAATTCCGAGAGAATGTGAATACCGCTTGTATTCGGCATAGATCCCACCTCCGATTTGTCCGACAAAGAGTCGCGGGACAGTCGGGTTATCAGGTGGCTCGCTATCAGCCGCCATTGCAGGTTCGTACCCTCGGCGCCCAAGAAGCTCTGTAACAGAATGTTCGCGTTTTCCATACAAAAAAAAAGTTATGTATACCAATTAACATTTTTATAATGGTTCTATCGATTAACCGGATTTACGCATAATCCTCTGATGTACTCGTAGAACAACGTGCTTAACTGCACTTAATGGTATTGATATAATTCCGCTCTCGACTCTCTTCTTTCACCCTGAATCACCGAATCCCCTACAAGGCGGACACTCAAAGCCCGCTGAAATCTAAGACGGGCATTATCGGCCGGCGAAAACGAAACGTCAGCTTTATTTGCCGGTGGAGAAACCGCGTCGCGAGAGGCGCAAAGAGAATAGATAATAACCGTCGGTTTTTCGGCAAATGCGCGCGGGGGCTCATCTGGTAATCGACGGGCGCTCCCGTGGGACGGGGCACGGCCCTCCCGCGGGGCACACGATAGCCCTTATGGTTTTTTGCGGGGCGAAGGGCGCGAGGCGCGGCCGCCTCGATTCAATTCGCGGTCGGTTCGCTGCGAGAGAACTTCACGGGAGGCCTTTACGTCTTGACAGGCCGAACCCCCGCGATACATGATATCTCCATCACGCCCGGCGCCCCCCCCGACGGTAAGCTGCATTGTTGGCGGCAACAAGCGGCATCGTTGTCATTTGGAGAGGCGACCGGGGGTGGCCCGCGGTAATGCCGAATCGTGAAAACCGTCGCGAATTAAAGAGTAATGGAGCTTATGATGATCTAATGGATAGAGCATTCTAGCTGTCGCTTGTTAGATCGAGATCGAGATTCGAGAGAGATCTTAAAATAGGACAAACTAACGCTGTGCGAATGTTAGGTGGCGTATTTATATCGCGTAATTAAATGTGAAACTGTGGCTGTCCTACGTCGACTCCATATTTACACACTGGATATGATCTTCGCGAATTTCGACGAAGATTGGGCGAGTAAACTGCGGAATTAAACGGCATGAATTTAGCATGAAAATCATCTAGGAAAAGTACCGAAATTGAAGAGGAATAATACGAGTATGGATGAACCGCGTGACATCGCGTTTTATGACGATGAAAATCAGAGGAATGATAATTCGAGAGAATTATTTAAAGTAATAGCACGCGCAGTTCAAAACTGTAATAATCTATTTAAGATAATCGCTGTAAATACCGCATCAAACCGTGCACTGAGAAAAAAAAATCGTAGATTCAAAGAAATATTATTTGATTCAACTAAATGCAGTGGTCACGGGCTGTCAAGCTAACATTTGTTAATTCAAAAAATATTATATTTAAATAGATTCAGAATTTCTTGATATTACTCACGTATATTTGATTTAAATATATTAATATTTGCATTAAACAAATCACTACAACTAAACGAGTTTAGTCAAATTTACAACATTTTTTTCTCAGTGTGCGTTTATAATTATAATTGTAAGCTTTGCTTGCAACGCATACTTTTGTCTTTGAATCTTTGTATTACATATATGGACACATTTTTTTCCAAATAACATTTTCTTTTACTTAACGCTTCTGTCCAATTCAGCAATTATTTGTATCAGTTTTGTTTCATAAAATTATAACACGAAGAAGGTTTAAAAAATGTAAATGCGTTGATATTAAACAACAATTAATAAATCTATACCTTGAAATTAAAAAGTAATTAATGAGTATATAAAAATTAATATAAAAAAATCAAATAGGGCTATTTAATTTATTGCAAATTTCGTCGAGATTGTAAAGACACGAGATGAAATTACGTACCTGCAGCGTTCGGAGATCGAGCTCCGCGATCGATTTGAGGAGCTTGAGGCCGCGGCTGGCCAGAGTTCGTATGGCGGGTGTGAAGGTCTGATTGGGGGTGGGCGAGGCACCCTTCTGATTCTGCGGCGTGTACGCGACCGCCGCGTAAAGAGCGCCGATCGCGTTCGACGCCTCGGTCGTCGACAAAGTCGACAGCAAGTGCGACTCGTTGCTCGTTTGCTCGACGCCACCGCCACCGCCGCCGCCGCCCTCGCCGTGCACGCTGACAGTATCTTGATCGACGGACCTCCTCAGATGGCTGCAGATACGCGCGAGAAGATCGTAAGATGATACCAGCAACGGCGACTCATGCTCCTGATCCAGAAAGAAATCCGTCTCGATCAGGGCTCGGCTGTGGCGTGACACGCGATCCACTAAGCCGCCGGCTACCAGATATCTGAAGCACAAAAGAATCGAGACACGTATTATAATAATACTCTCGCGGATCGACGAAACCGCGCTTCTTTTTTTCCTTGACATTCTCGATACCCTTGGAGTCATGGCCAAGGAGAATTCCCATGCTCGAGAAGTTCTTTGAAATTTAATAATTTCTACGTTATATTTGACTTGAAAGTCATTATCTTAACTCTTTGACTACGGCTGAGCTGGACGCGAAGCTCTGCACGCACAGCTCTGCTGCAAAACGCAACTGAATGATATTAGGTAGTGCCATCGATGTAAAATATGATTTTAAAAAATGTTACGAATAACAATGAGTTCATACTAACTCAAAAGTAGTAATTCATACTTGATGATGCTGCGTCAAGAGAAAAATTATGTTGTTCAAAAATATTTCGTCATTGCACTATCAAGAAACGACAATATTTCTTAACTGTAGCTGATTATAAGTTGTAAAATTTTTTATCTGACTACTAAACTCTTAACGATCTCGTATAATAATGCTGTAGAACATTTTTTTTAATAAAGTAAATACAGATCAAGACAATTTAAGAACATTTTTACCTGGCAGTGATGAAACATCAAGATATAAAAGAGAGCCACTATAACAGTGTTTCGTTTTCAAAGATCGTTTTAGCAGAAAGTCACAGCAGTAGCGCGTGGTAGCCAAAGGGTTAAGAAAACTCGAATCAATTCGCTCATGAAATTCCAGTTACATGTAACGTTAGTATTTACGAAAAATTCCTCTTTTAAATTAAAAATTTCTAATATATAAAGGTTGATCCTTGCTGTTTCAATCCAGGACAGTGGAAGTACGCTGTAAGGGTCGAAGGATTTTTATAAAGCATTTTCGCAGCGGTGTAGAACAATACGAACGCGTCTTATTGATACGCGAAAGTGCCGGGACACCTGTTCTAAACGGAGAAACGAACGATTCAATATTCAAACGGGCCGTCGACCCCCGGGCCGACGCAGGATCTCACTTCGGTACTTCGGCAATCGGCGCTCGTCGATCACCGAGCAATCATACGGCAGCGAAGTGTGCATATGGGCGTCAGTGGGGGGAGATGAAACCGGATAAAAAAAACAATGTATTGCTTACAGGACAGCATGTGCGACGGCGTAACACGAGAGGATTATAACATCAGTGCGTAATTCCAAGAGAAAGAGAGAGGCGAAAGAGGGTGAAGGAGCGGTCAGGACGCGAGAAAAGCGAAGGGGACTGAGGGGGGATTTGCGAATGAGCGGCGCACGCGATGCTCATTCTATCGGGTTGTTGTATGTATACGTTTTTCTTTCTCCCGTAGGCAGCATCCCCTTCCGCGGCCGCGCAAGCCCGAGGGGGTGCGTGCCTGTCAGCGCGTATTATCGCCGCCCCCTTCAATCCTCCTCGGTGGAAACACGCACACAAACTCCGGGGCCCCGCGCGTCAATGAGTATTGGAATATATAATACACGGTGAAAAAGAGAGAGAGAGAGAAAGAGAGAGGGTGCGCCGCCCTTCGATGCCGCGTCCGTGGAAGGCCAACTGTCGCGTCTAATCATAACTAACTGCGAGCTAATCCCGCCGCACTAGCTTCGCCGATTGTAGCGCAAAAAGGGTTGGCGATATCGCGCCGTTATTTTCGAAATGTTATATCTCGTGTGTCGATCGCGTCGCCGATATTCCCGTCCCGAAAGCGACGCTGTAAAGGATGCGAAATTCCAGAAGATGAATTTTTTAACAATCCGCTCGTGTCGTCGACACGAGACGGAACACGGGATCCGGTTTGCCGAGTCGCGTCGCCATCCGTGGAGACGACGATCTTTTTTTTTCTCTCTTCTTCTTGTCCTGCACTCGTTCCCCCAATAAGCGCGACGGACGCTCACGAGAGAGCCCGTTAAGCCTGTCGGAGCCAGAGATACGACAATGGGCGAACACGAGTCACCGCGACGCCGAACAGTGTGCGACGGGGTTCCGAGTAAATTCGCTAATAAAATGCAGCGAAATGATCGCGCCGCGCGGATCAGAATCGTCGGCCAGCTACGTGCTCGCGCGATTACACGCCGAGAGCCCCTCCGCGCCCTTTAATCCGCAACAACACGGACGACAGTTGGGGACGACGAGGGGTACCGCCGCCGTTGCGTCTTCGAATGCAATAATTCTGCCGAGTGGCTCTCCTTCCTCCCCGAATGGTTCACCGTCCCGCTCTTCCGTTTCGCTCTATACCGGTAGCCGGGGATTACATCCGTGAAAGTCACTGCGCCGGATCGCTTAATCCTTTAACCCGTAGTAGGGATAAATTCCGATCCGGGTGATGCTATTCACTCGCGGCCCGAAACATTGAATCATACTTTCATAATCATGTAATCGCGATGGGGTATGCGCTGGCCGAGAGAGGGTGTCCCGGAATCAGTCCTAACAACCACAGTCCGGTCAATTTGGTGATGGCTCTTCCTCAGCGTCGAGGGGGGGGGGGATCATTATTTTACCGACGCTTTCCAAATTTTAACGTTAAATACTCTTGTAATTGAGTCTCGAACTGTGACCTCGTCACACGCTCCGCTTGAAATTAATTAAAAGAAAAAATTTTTGTTACACGGGAAAAAAGAAGTATCAAATCAAGACTTACTCATAAGATATATAACCTTATAAGAATTTCAACTTTTTATTTCGACTTTCTTTCTTGATTGAACTATATAAAAAACTTCGTTTAACAATATAAAATATAAATGAATTTTTTCAAGCAAGTTTTCTTCGCAATATAATCTCATTTCAAGATTATAGATTGTTGCGTATACCTATACGAGTATATAAGTTTTGATTTGACATTTCTATGCTTTCTGTGTATTTACTCGCCAAAATTTCAAGCCGATGCTTCGAATTCGTTAATTCGTGTAAAATTATATAGGTACATAAAAAGTTATTTTTAACCATTCCTACAGGTCGTCACTGCTCCTACTCAATGTCTTCAATTTACCAAAAACAATGTTAATTTAATTAAACCGACGGAGTTAAAATAATAATGTTTTGTGCTAAAATAATAAATTTCGGCACACACATGGTAGTTAAAAATAACAAAACGTTATTTAATTCGAGGCATTGGTTTAAATTTCATCCTTTAATATTTAACAGCGTATTATGTTAGAAACGGACTGCCTCGTTAATATCTCTCGTCGACCTCTGCGATAATGCAAAGCGGTTATATATCTTCTCCAAGAACGGAGTGCGAGATTAGATTTTGCTATTAGTTTTCAATTAGCGATTCGGTCAGGCGAAAGGCGATTGAACTCTGTTTTTCGAATATGTATGTCCCTCAATCTGTCATTCAGTCCACCGCACGCGTACCGAGGGTACCGAAGCGATTCGCGCCAACCAGGAAGATCCCGTGTCCCGATCTTCACGCACGTCCGCGCTCGGGGGGTGCGTCACCCCGCGCCGGCCCGAGATTGCGATCTATCATTGAATGTTTGCGGGGGGGAAGTCTCGAGGCAAATATATCGAATTTATTTATTATCCTCTCGTCCCGCCCCCTGCACGCATCCGCGGCGGAGGACGAGGAGAGAGAGAGAGGGGGGGCGGAGAGTGGGTGGCGAGCGGCTGGCCGTATATACTGCTACCCCGGAGGCCGCCATTAGCTAACCATATGATTATTTCATAGCGAACTCGCGAGGGTGCATATCTTTGCGCTTCCAACCCGCACCCCCGACCCACGGAACCGGCGGTGGCTTACGCGATTTGCGCGCTGCACCGCGCGAGTGCACTTACGGGCGGGAAAAAGGTTCTCCACGGGGGTAGGGCTTCCCCCTAAAGAGGAAGGTAATCGAACGGATGGCCCGTAATTTGTATGTCGTGCCCGGATTACCAGAGAGCGCGGAAATACGCGTCTATCCGGTTTTACGCTGTCGCGCGTAACTCGATTTTTTGGAGAACAATCGCAAGCATCTTTCGTAGTCACAATACGTGCACGAATGCAAGATAGAGGTGGCTTTGTGGTCGTATAGCCGCAATTTCGAAAAGGTACAACGGTACCATTTTTTTTACGGGTTCATCAAGAATACATGTTCTCGGCGATATGGAGAATATTTGTTCACCAAAGTGCTACATGTATTTAGAGTAATATCGGTATACGCGCGATGCGTATATGGGTGATAAAAAATACGTGACTTCGACAAACGAGGCGGAATAAAAATAAGCGGAAACAATTTTTCTGTTAATCCATACGAATAACGTATCTAGCTGAAAATCGCCGCAACAAATTTTTCGTGAACACGCGTGAGTCAGCCGAGTAACACTCCGGAATTAATGTTGTAAATCAATCAAATGTAATTCCCGACGTACGTGTATAGCTGAAAGCACGAATATTATGTAGCATACCGGGGGAAAGGATAAATCTATAAAGAATATAATGAATAGTTGCGCTATTCATTATACAACTGAGTTGATAAAAACAATGCAGTAGAATACTGATTAATTATATAAATTCATATATATACTATATGTTCTCTAAAGTGCTACGTGTTTATTATATGATATATGTATAATATATATAAAATTTCAGAATATTTAAAACAATTGTTGGTTTGAAATAATTGCTATACACTCCGTTTCAACGTACCTAAATTTAATATAAACTGTACTTGAAAATTGCTCGTCGAAGGAATGACGTTCATAGTAAGAATAACAGAATTCCAGGTCCAGCCCAGCTCGTGGAAATATTCCTCTTCGGCGCCCCGGACAAACGCGTCTGGCAGAAGTGCCATTTCGCTATTTCGACAATAGGGTGTGTTTGCGCAACGAAATGGCAGAAGTGTGTAAATGACAGTCGCGTATCATTGAGTCGGAAAAAAGGGGTGGCGCGGGGTGCGGCGGCGTCGGCCACTTGGTCGCCAATCTTGCTCGGTATTTCGATTCTCCATTATCGATCGTACGCATCAAAATAGATACTCTTTCTAATTTTACGTTAAAAAAAAAAAAGGTTTGAACGAGGCGGCGCGATTGAAAAATGTGTGTATAAC